AGTCGTTCATCTGAGCTTCCCACCAGGAAATGTACAAATGCAAAGTATGTTTATGTTGCCTAGCAGATATTTCAAATCAGTTATAACCTACAAAGGCTGATATAATGGTAAGAGATTTAAGAAACAAACTAAAAGCCAACATCCCCTTTGTGGCACTGAAGGCGTATAGCATGGGCGAAACAAAGCACATTCCTGGAAAACAACTGCCCATGACTTTTAGAGCACTTTTAGAAGATCAGCATTCCCTCAAGCTTTCTTAGTGCTTAGCATTTTGACAAAATTGGCATGCATCTATAGCAGGTGGTTTGCTGTTTCATGCTGAAACATCTACCCTCAAAATCACTGTTGGACTGATAAAGCTTATTACCACCCTTGCATACTGACACTTTCGTGAACTGTTGGACAATCAGAGTAAGGTAATTTCAGTGTTATCTACCAGGTCTCCAGCCCTGCTCTGTGCATAGGTCATGGTATAACAGGCATATCTTCTACTACAAGTCAAATCCAAAAGAAAAGCATCCACTTCACTTGAAAGAACTGATAAACAAAACATAACACTCTACTTTTAATTTCTGCTAATAGGATCTGTTACTATTTCATGTCTAAGAAGAGAAAATACTTGGAAAAAAATATAAATTTGTCTGTAGAAAATCCATGCCATGAAAAGCTCCCACAAATGCCTAAATAGCTGTTACAGCATATGAGTGTGCCTTTTGCATGACAGCTCAATCATTCATAAATGTGGTTATACCATTCTGTATCATATTTAAGCAAGCAAACTTGGTATTCAACAAATTATTGCCAACTCCACCAGCACTCTGTTTTCTGGGGTTAATGGGAAACCAGCTTGAAGTCTGAACTCAATTTCTATTAGCTTGTGTGAAGGCAGAAAGTCATGTCTTCTGTAGTGGTGATAGAATTAGCACTGATAGCAGAAATGAATCGTATTGCCTGAGGTTGGATTACTCTTATGATGTAGTTGACCATTTGGCAATGTGTTCAGCATGCTCTACACCTCTAAACCAAACAGAATGACTCGGGCAAAGCTGGTGAGCCTAATACATAGAAGCAGAGCTCCCCAGAAGTGAAAGTAGATTTTTCAGAAGACATACTCACAGCCCCTGTGTCACTAGGCTGAATGTTCTGTGGGGTTTTTTAATTCAGAAAGCTTGATGCTTTTCCACAGCCAGGTTAAGCTGTCAGTGTTCTCCACACAGATTACTTCGGATCCTGTGCCACTCCTATGCTTGCTCTGGATAAGCATTAAAAAACTGATCCAGGTTAAAACTAACCAATTGGGCCAAAAAAAAGCTCCTTCCCTGTAACCAATAGTCAGCATTTGGTCAGTACACAATACAGTCAGCTGAGCAGCCAAATCAGTCAGTGTTAGCACAAACTGTGAGAGTAAGTAGATGGGACCAGTCCCATCAGTTTTACTGGTATGCCCTTGAAGTAATTCTATTAATTATTGGTAGAGCCAGCATATCATTTTGAATAAGCTTTAATGCCACAGCCACTGTATATGGATCTACAGTCAGGACTACAACATTACTATTTGTGATGCTAAATACAATTAAGTATTTGTCAACTTATTTATTGAGTAGCGAACACATTTAAATAATTTAGAGCTGATTTAATAATGTTAAGTGATGAGGTGCACATATATGAGCACTTTGCTTCATGCTATGAATATGATGAAAGTAAATGGGTTTTCTTCTTCTGAAATACCGAAAAGCACATGCAGTTCTCCACCATTACATAAACTGTTTACATATGCTCACCACAATATCATTTTATTATCTCTCAATATTGCATAAGGTAGGACATCTATCAAGAACGAGAAGGATGTTTTACTGTATTTTGTCTGGAGCTGTACATTCACAGTGATGATTCAAGAGACAGGGCTTGCACTTAGTGTTATTTGCTCAAGTTCACGATAGCTTCCAGTTATGTTGGCTTATGGCATTTATGCAGAGAGATCAGTTCTAATCACTTAAGAGAAAACATTTGAAAGAACCACCTAAAATTTACCTATTGCTACTTTGATGCAGATTTTTGCCAGCAGGAAATGGTTAAGTTTTCATTACATCTCTTTCTGAGGAATCTTGCTCACTGCTTGGCAATTCGCTCACTCAGTGTCTCTTAGCTTCCCAGTAGCACATGTTGCAAGTACCATCAGTCTCAGGCAGGTGAACTTCTTCAGAAATAAGGTTGTGCTGTGCTGATTATAATTTTTACATCTCACCACTAGTAGACTAGTTTTATAGGAAAGTTGTAGCCTGTGGCTGCAACCAGCATGTCTTTATAGACTTAGTACAAAAGAAGCCTCAAACTCTCATCCCAAATACTGAGCCTGTAACATCTTTTACTCCGAAAGTGTTTTGTGTCCTGGCATAACCATTCATGCTCATGGAATTGCATTATACCACTAAATCTGCAATTTAATCCAAATTTAACCATTCTATCATCTTAACAGCTGTTTTTAAGGAATAAGGAAGTGTTAAAGAGTAAATAGTGCACAATATGAATAATTATGCATAGTCTTCTGTGATTAGCTAAGATCACAGAAAAGGGGATATGGAATAAGGAATGGGAATTTTACTGTTGAAACTCAAATAAATGCAATATTCCCAAACTGCAAAATCCAGGATCACAAATCAGTGTGACATCCTCACCAAATGCTTTTGATCTGTAGAAACGTGTACTACCTAGGCCTCTTCCATTAAACCGTTTTCACAAATATAAAAACCTAACAAACTTTCTTTGGTAGATCTTATACTGTTTCTTACTAGTTTCAGAAGAGGACATAGTACTTTTTTATTTTTTTAAGGCCTATAGAGAAAGTACAGTCAATTCATGAAATCTTTTGAGTGGCATGCATAGAGATCTTCATAGAAGATGGATATCAGGAAATACAATAAAATGCAGAAGATCTATAAAATCTTTATGAAGCTCAAAAATCACTTTCCATTCTCTGGAAAGAGGTGCTGTTCACATGCCTACACGGAAAATAGGAATAGCTTTAAAAATTAGACTTTGAAAATCAGTATTTAATTGACACATCCCCATCTCACTCCTACCCCCAAAAAAGAGAAAAGGAATACTGAAATCAGAATAATTGTGTTGTGATGAAACATGTGTAAGACCCTGTCATTATGTGGACAGGGCGAGATTTCTGAACAACTTAATTTTCTGGATCTGAAGGCTGGGGTTTTTTTTTGGTTTATCAAATCATGGCAAGGTACAGTGCTACCTGGGACCAGGACTATGTTCAGAGACCTGGTTGCTAATATAGCACCTTCTCATTTTAAAAAGGCACAAAAAGGATGAATTGACTCATACAACTGCTTTAGGCAACTAAACAAGACTAAAAAAATAAATGTAAACAGGCTGGCTCCTTCTTTAAGAGGTCAAACCCCTTCATTTTTATAGATGTTTATATTAAATATCTGCTCTTCAAGACACACCTTTGTTGACAGTACTAAGCTTCCATAGTACTAAGCTTCCATAACCTCAACATTTAAAGAAAAGAACCCTTCAGCTGATTGGTATCTCATGGCTTTATCTTGATCTTTCTTTCCCTTTAGAGCCGTCTATTCTTAAACTGGCAATTTCAAGAACTTGCCCTGAGCTAATGAATTCATTATCAGTCTTTAAAACAATATAGCATGAAGTCTGAAGTAGTAAATTCGCGTTTAAGGAATTAAATTTGAGAGTGTCAACTATAAAAATTGAGCCAAATACAGAATAGACAATATTATGCCTTGCAGGTATATTTAATGCAGATGTGCATATTTTTATGATTCGTTGTACAATTAAGTCTTCTGCTGATCACCACAGTAACCTGCATCACAATCAAGAAAGTAACACACATACCAGCTGCAGTCAAAAGGAAAGAAATCCTGTATATGAAGGTTTCCAATGTATTTTTTTAAGAAACCTTCCCTTTAAGATCCTTGAAGAAGCCTCTGGTATACACACTAAATCAGTGCAACAAAATTGCCAATAAAATTATGGTTTAATCCACTTGGCAACAATAAGTTTAAGTGGCATGAAAAAACCCTTACTATACTAATAGGATACTCTTCAGAGAATTTTCACCACAAATTTGTCTGTAGGCTGCAAGTGTTTTTCTAATGCAAATGTAATTTATGAAAAAAGCTAGGCCACCAACTAAAAGAAAACATTTATTGAATTAAAGTCAATACTTTCCTTTTAATATCTACAAGCCAACACTGAACTGACTTTATTCAAGAATGAACACAATGTACAAAAAAAGTATGTCAGTTATAAAAATATGTCAATCCATTTTTCCTGGCTATTTTGCTGAAAACATTTTGACAAGTGCAAGATAGGTTTGGCAAGCAAATTAAAGCCACTATTACCAATGACAAAGTTCATATAATTTTGTAATCATAGTATAATATTTAAGACTCATTGATAAAGTGGCTTTGGAAATGTTGACCCCTAAAAAAAAATATATCACTGCACTGCCATGTGTTTATGCACCCAGACAACTGAACATCTTGACCTTCTGTCATCATGTATCAGTACCTTTTTTCAGTGAAGACTATCCAACCTAATTTGAACTATTCAACCAGATAACTGACACCTACCACTGGAGTACAATTTAGGAAAGGCAAACTACTTCCATGGCCCTGTATTTTGTCTGTTTGCAAACTGAGAGAGAAGAGTAGGTAGGTTCACACACTTTTAAATCAACTTGACAGCTGTTGCAATGTGAAATCAGGGAAAGGTTGGAAAAAGAATAAAGAATCATTTATGACAGCAATCTATATTTATGAATATGTGTATTTACGTATAAAAATGGATCTGACTAGGCTCAGCCATGCCTTATTTGTTTGAATGGGTTTTTTTCACATAAAAAATTTAACTCAACCAGGACTCAAATCATTGACGTCTCTCAAACCACCAATAAGGAGGAAAAAAGGGGACCATTTACAGAGATAATCTGAAAACAGTGCAATATTAAAATACAGTTTCACAACATGTGAAAGAAACATGCTTTGGAACCTGAGCAAAAGGCGTTTTACTGACTTAGTAAAAAGTCACCCTGTATGTTGTTTTCATTGGCATCTGTTCTGCCAGATTAGTATGTTGCTCTTAGCAACTTTCATGGCCCCTAAATATTTAGTACACAGAAACTGCCAACTACTTAGAGAGGTCTACTAAACTTTTCACCTAATATTGCAGGCAGTCTGACATGCTGCTACTGGAAATGACCATACAGTCTAAAATTAATTTAAATTGTAGAAAGGAAAAGAAGCAGCCAAACATGATACTTTTCTTTTTTAAATAGACTAAAGCGCTTCCACGACACTTCGATACGGTACTACACTGGCTTACAGTCTCAAGGTCAGCTCTTTCAAAATAAATATACCAAACATTTACAACAAATGCCTTATGAATGCAAGCTCTCTCTTTACTATTTCAAGACCAGTTGGATAAAAACTAAAATAAAGACATAACTCTGAAGCAGCTAAGTTACAAGCCCTTTTTCAGAAACAGGCATGACTTGGTGTCACAGCAAAATTTTTCACCTGACTGGTAAGGAGTAAGAAATTTTTTTTTTCGTTATAGAACCAAGCGGGCCACCATATAAAGCAACCTCACAAAGCATGCAGTCATCTACTCTGCTGATTTTGTATGTTGTATGAAATAATCATTGTGCTTGCAGGTCCCAGACCTTTCAAAAAGGGGTATGAATAATAGATGATTGAAGACATTAATGGAAACTCACTCATTTCTAAATTACTTGAGTGGAGAGAACATTTCAGAACTAAAAAGCAACAGAATGTTGCACATTAGTATTTGTGAGGGATGATGAAAGCTAGGATTGGTGCTTTAATTTGGCTCAAAACAAACAAAAAGCTAAAAACAATCCTAAAAGCTCTATGTCCATGATACTGGTAGAGGCCAATGTGTGCATGCCACTGAAAGGCACAGTTGGACCAATCTGATAAACGGCATCATCAGAGCAGAACAGCAACTTTTCACTGGAGTAATCACAAAGGGTGAACAATGAGCCATCAATTCTCTTGTCATGAGCACAGAAAGCAGTCACCAAGGCAAAAGAAGGGACACAGGAAAGAAGATACAGGAACCCACATAAGCCTGGAAGACAGAAAATATACATTAAACTGAGTTTTGAACATTCTGAGTGACCATTTTCCTACTGTAATACTGCCATTCATTGATTTAACACTTCACATACTATGCTTAAACAGATGAACTGTTGTAAAAATGTTGTTACTCTAATCATATCACAAAATTCTTCTGAAATTTGCTATACTTCACTTAATAGCATCTTAGGTATAAAACAGGCTTATAGACTGACTGATGCAGTCAGGTCAGTTTCTTGTTCATTGCATAAAAAAATTAACATGCTTACAGGATACTAAATTTTTTACTCAGATAGTGCATTTAAAAATTTGGCAACATAAAACCACAGCTATTTATAGGTAGCTAATTATGAAATAGTATGATTGTTCTTCCTACTACTTTACCAGTACCTAAAAACCAGAGTGCAGTACTTACTGGAAAGGTTTCCCCGAAGTTATCCTGCCTTTGTATCTACAAGCTGCATCTGAACATTTGCAGACATGCCACCTCCATAGCCTCCCTTGGACTGCATTTGGTTCTGAATGGAGCTGACCTGGAGACAGAAGGGAAAGGAGTGCAGAGGAAACAAGAAAGGCAGTTAGTGAGCTGTGGTGTCTTCTTGCTTCCAATTTTATTTCTTGTTTAGGTTTGGTTTTCAAGAGCTCCTTTACCATTAAAGCTACATTACTTTTGCATGAGGACACGCACAGCTTAAGGTTGCTGGTATTTTCAATTCTTGCAAGCAGCTCAGCAGGAGAGATGGAAGAACTGGCACTGAGGCAGATGTTTTTCCACTCTCCCAAAGAAAATTGGCTGATTCAAGCTTTTACTGACCCACTGGATTATTCAGAAAAAAAAAAAAGTGAATCTCTTAGTGATATCCAGCTCTACTCCATTGACAATCTATAATTTATCTTGTTATATGGAAAATGTTCTTTGTCAAGTATGCTAAAGTCAAGTATGCTGTAGGTGAAAAACCACCTTGCCTCTAGTGAAAGAGTTAGAAAAACATCTCCAGGCTACGTCACATTCCAGCCTGACAACTTGCCCATATGACTTTAAAATTCTGGTGAACAGCAAATCAACACAAATTGCAAGGCTAAAGTGTAACTTTTAATGAGTAATTCTTCTACAGGTTAGAATAATTCCTCTGATATTTGAGTCACACATATATAGGTGTTTGTGTTAGTGGGTAGGGAAGTGTAAGTCTAAAATGCAGACGCTGTTACACCTAAAGCAAAGAGAATGCAGCAAATTAAACTTGATTGCATTAATAGTTAGTGGCTATTTTGTATATGAAAACTTATATAGGAGACATGTAATGCTAAAAACACTGAGGAAAAAGCAGGTCTAACAATTTTGGGCTTATAAGGCGGCAGTCTTTCTGAAGACATCCTCTTTTTGAGGTAGTCTGAGCTTCAAGAACAAGCACTTTCCCAAAGATGGTATTGCTTTCCTTTGATGATACATAATGGCAAGGTGGTTTTCTCTTTTGTCTAATTTATAGTATAAGGATTTAAAGATTTTGGAAGGGGAAAAGGATTGCACCAATTAAAGATCATACCATCTGTTGTGTTGCTTATCTATCTCATTAATTTCCTTCTTTCTTTTCTTTCCCTCCCTTTTAGAATGAGGAAATAGCACAGATGGTCCTTCAGAAAGAAAACAAGGGAAAACTAAGAAAAGGATGGAATACATGAAATAAAAAACTAAACTAGAAAGTGAATTTGCCATAGAATATGAAGGTGAAATAAGAAAGAAAGCAACAGTAATGAGAAAGAAACAGTGCACAAAGGGCTCCTACTGTTTAAGCATACCTTTGGCAAAAAGGAACAATGGACTCTACAGAGAAGGCAAACAAAAAAGCAAAATATTTCAGTAGTCAGAGAATTGCTGTATATATCATATACATATCCATATCATAAACACATATATGTGTATAGATATGTATATATATGTATATATCATAAGGATATATAATGAAGAACAATGTTGATGAAAAAACACACAGAGCAGATAGGTGGATGAAGAATGAAATTTATATGGGAAAAGTGAATGTAATTACAGGAGGTCCTGCTGAGGTATATCAGAAGAGAGAAAGCTCAAGGAGGTTCATGGAGTATAATGTCCGTACTATAAAGAAAATTAAGCAGCAGAAAAACATGTGGAGGTTAACACTGTAATCTTGGCATTTACACTGTGAAGAATGAACAAGGACAACGGATACAATATTAGCACAGTAAGTCACTGTTGAGGTTTGAACTCGGCCAGCAGCCAGACACCACGTGGCCCGCCATTCATCTTCCTCCTCCCTAATGAAATAGTGGAGGGGCAAAAAGAAGAAAATTAATAGGCTGAATAAAAAGAGAGAATTTACTAAATATAACAAGAGAACAACAGTAACAATAGTGAGTGCAAAAGAAATGGGTAAAATGCAGCAGTGGCTTACGGAGCACGGCGACCGCCCCCCAGCAACACGCGACCGGACTGGAACCTGAAAACGGTGGCGCCAGAGCGAGCTCACGCCCACCTGTATCCCTGGGTATGGCATCACATGGGATGAAACACTCCAGGGAGTGATGGCACCGGCCTTCTAGCTGTGCTCCCTCTCAGCCCAGGGAAAGTTAACTCCATCCTGGTCGAAACCAGGACAGTCTCCTCCCCTTATTCTATACCATTAACGTTATGCTCAAGTTCCGAATACATCCTAAGGAATCACCAACCCTTTCTCCCAGGCCTCACAGATGTCATTCCCTTAGCCTATGGGCCATCCTTCAAAATGTCTGCTAAGTTCATCTAGTCCATAACTTTGGGTTCCATCTGTCATGACAGTCTTTAAGGCTGGAGGAATGATGTGGAGTTGGCTCAGTCACTGGAGCAGGAGGCTTCGAATGTGGCACAGGGATGTTGCAAGGCACCAACTGCCGTAACAGGATTATCTGACAGTCTGTTTCATTGGCTATTCTCACCTCAAATCAAACCTCCTTGAGGCACACATCGGACTTATCCGTCCTTCTGCATTACCCACCAAGTGCACCCAGGTCCTTAGGCAAAAGTAATCCCATGCATGGGTTTACCTTTACCCAATGCAGGAATAACCCAGACGGCTTCCCCCAACATATTCCTAATGAGCACTACGGGGGCTTTATCCCCATCCACAGTATGTAGGAGGTTTGATTGAGCAGGGCCAGCTTGCTTGGCAGATCCTCTGGTATTGACTAACCAGGTGGCTTTTGCTAAATGCACCTCCCAGTGTTTGAAAGTTCCACCACTCGCTGCTCTCAGTGTAGTCTTCAGCAACCCATTGTATCGCTCAATTTTCCCAGAGGCTGGTGCATGGTAGAGAATGTGATATAACCACTCAGTGCCATGTTCTTTGGCCCGAATTCCTATGAGGTTGTTTCAGAAATGTGTCCCATTATCTGACTCATTTTTTTCTGGCGTGCCATGCTGCCTTAAGACTTCCTTCTCAAGGCCTAAAATGGTGTTCCAGGCAGTGGCATGGGGCATGGTGTAAGTTTCCAACCAACCCATGGCTGCTTCCACCACTGCAAGCACAAAGTGTTTGCCACTGCTGAGTTTGTGGGAGCGTGATATAACCAATCCGCTAGGCCTCCCCATATTTATATTTTGACCATCACCCTCCATACCAAATGGGCTTTAACCAACTGGCTTGCTTGATGGTAGCTCATGTCTCACATCCATGGTTAAGTCCACCCCCTCGGTCACAAGCCCATCTCTATGTTCCATCTCTTCCCTGATGGCCTGAGGAGTCTTGGGCCCAGAGAGACAGAAATTGTTCACCCTTATGTTGCCCGTTCAGATCTACTTGAGCCACCTTGATCTTGGGAGCCTGATCCACCTGTTGGTTGTTCTGATGTTCTTCAGTGGCCCGGCTCTTGGGTACATGAGCGTGTACATGGCATACTTTCACAACCAGATTCTCTACCCAAGCAGAAATATAATTCAGCAGCCCAGATGTGTTTGCCTCTACACTGCTGAGTTACTGCTGTAACCACCCCCACAGGGCATCTGCCATCATCCATGAGTCAGTACAGAGGTAGAGCACTGGCCACTTTTCTTCCTCAGCAATATCCAAGGCCAGCTGAATGGATTTTACCTATGCAAACTGACTCGATTCACCTTCTCCTTCAGCAGCTTCAGCGACCTGTCGTGTGGGGCTCCTTCTGGTCAATTTGTGATCACTTCCCACATTCCCGGATGGCTGGGGCTCCCTGTTCGAGCCTGTAGTGTGATTAATGCGACCCATTTACTTCATGTGGCATCAGCTGCACGGTGTGTAGAGGGGACACTCCCTTTGAACACCCAGCCCAGCCCTGGCAGTTGGGGTGGCAGGAGGAGCTGTGCTTCAGTACCAATCACCTCTGAAGCAGCTGGTATCCCTTCATATGCTGCCAGTATCTCCTTTGTGGTTGGAGTACAGCGGTCCTCAGATACTCTGTATCCCCAACTCCAAAACCCCAGGGGTCGACGCCGAGTTTCTCCTGGTGCTCTCTGCCAGAGACTCCAGGTAGGGCCATTCTCCCCAGCTGCAGTGTAGAGCACGTTTTAACATCTTGTCCTGTCCAAACTGTCCCAAGGGCTACTGCATGAATTATTTCCTGCTTAATTTGTTCAAAAGCTTGTCATTTCTCCGGGCTCCATAAAAAAATAATTCTTTTTCTGAGTTACTTGGTAGAGAGGGCTGACAATCTGACTATAATTTAGAATGCACAGTCTCCAGAAACCCACAACACCCAAGAAAGCTTTCGTTTCCTTTCTGTTAGTGGGGACATAGTTGTTATTTTATTAATCACTTCCTTTGGAATCTGATGACATCCATCTTGACATTTTACTCCTAAAAACTGGATCTCTTGTGCAAGTCCCTTGAGTACCCTTTATGGCAAAACTGGCTCTCAGAAGGATTTGGTTTATTTTCTCCCCTTTCTCAAAAACTTCTGCTGTATTACCCCATATAATGATGTCATCAATGTACTGTAAATGTTCTGGGGCTTCACCCTGTTCCAGTGCAGCACGGATCAGTCCATGGCAAATGGTGGGGCTGTGTTTCCACCCCTGGGGCAGCCAATTCCAGGTGTAATGGACACCCCTCCAGGGAAAAGCAAACTGTGGCCTGCATTCTGCTGCCAGAGCGATGGAGAAAAATGAGTTAGCAACATCAATCGTGGCGTACCACTTGGTGGCCTTCGACTCTAGTTCATACTGAAGTTCTAGCATGTCTGGCACGGCAGCACTCAGCAGTGGCGTGACTTCATTCAGGCCACGACAGTCCACTGTCAATCTCCACTCTCCATTAGACTTTCACACTGGCCATATGGGGCTGTTAAAGGGGGAGTTCGTCTTGCTGATGACTCCTTGGCTCTCTAGCTGATGATGGCTATTAGCAGTTTATGGATAGGGATTACAGAGTCTCGGTTGGTGCGGTATTACTGTCGGAGCACTGTTGCAGTGGCAGTTGGCACCCGTTGTTCTTTGACCCTCAGCAATCCCACAACGGAAGGATCCTCTGAGAGTCCAGGTAACACAGACAACTGTTTAATTCCTTCTGTTTCTGAGGCAGCTATACCAAAACCCACTGATACCCTCTTGGGTCTTTAAACACTCTCTCCTGAGATAATCTATGCCAAGAGTACATGGAGTGTCTGGGCCAGTCACAATGGGGTGTTTTTCCCACTCTTTTCCACCTAGGCTCCCCTCGGCCTCCAATACAGTCAGCTGTTGAGACCCCCCTGTCACTCCTGAAATACAAAGGGGTTGTGCCCCTTTAAAATGTGATGGCATTAGGGTGCATTGAGCACCAGTGTCCACTAGAGCCTTATACTGCTGGGGGTCAGATGTGCCAGGACATCGAATCCACACAGTCCAGTAAACTCGGTTGTCCCTGTCCTCTGCCTGGCTGGAGGCAGGGCCCTCTGATGTTGATCATAATACCCACTAACAACAGAAGGGCTAGTGTGGTGTGCATGGGCTTCAGTCTCATCTTGATCACTCACTTCTTGTGAATATAGGTCAGAAGTTCTTCTCATAGGATCATGAGCAAAGTCAACCCTTCTGCCCTGTTTGGGCACTTGATTACTGGAAACCGAGCAGCATTTCTCCTGAAAGAACCCTGTTTTGTAGCTGTTCCTCCTTCCAACTCACATACCCACTCTTCTAGGAGGCAGGTAGGTTTTCCATCTCATTTCTTCATGTATTCTCCCATGTCATACAGGTGATGTCACAGCTTCCCCCCTGGTGTGTACAGGTTCTCTCGAGTAGAGAAACGATTGCTCCTAATAGCTGAGATCCTAGTCCATGCAGGTGGGGAGTAGGACATGTCCTCTTTAAATTGCTGGAATTCTTGAGATAATCCCTCCACAGCATGATGAGGGAGGAAGAGAGACTTTCTTCATATTGTTGTAGTCAGTGAGCAAATTCATCCACTGTTGGTCCCTCTTCATCTCTCCAGCCCATTACTGCTAATGCCCTGGCATATGATGACAGTGTGCTCTGTACAAACTTCCGCCACATGGGTAGCTGTGCATTATCTGGGTCATAGTAAACTACCTCCTGCACAGCTAGCTCCCTCAGGTACTGAATGCCTCTCTCCATAGTGGTCCGCTTAAGTGGTTGACATACAAAGTCTTCCTTGAAGGGATATTTCTCCCTCACACTTGGAAGAAGTTGCCTCCAGAGACAGATTTTGTGTCTCCTTTCCAACAGCTTTGTCAATGCCCCCTTCCTTAGGCAGGGATCCCAGCTGCCTGGCCTCCCTGCCCTCTAGTTCCATGCCACTGGCTCCACTATCCCAGCACTGGAGCAGCCAGGTAATGAGTTGCTCACCTGGATGGTGGCTGAAATCTTCTGTCTCACAACTCACTCAGGGATAAGGATCAAGTGCCTGTCACTGGCTCTGCCTCCTCCTGTTCTTGTGATGGGCCTGATTCATCATCACCTTGTAGACTGTGAGAGGATCTTCCTGTGTATGTTGTCTTCTGTATGGGAGCAACTGACATTGTCACAGGTTGGTTCTGTGGTTCAGCTGCTGTGCCTGTCCTTGGGCTTGCAGTGGCTGCAGTTTCTATTACTTGGTTACCAGGTGCAGAGCCCTTCTCTTCCTCTTGAGGGTGCTGAACAGTGTTTAATAGCACTCGTTAAGCGTGGGCTATGCCCCAGCATGTTGCAGTGAGCTGTGCCTCTCTGGAATTACCTGGATGACAACATACTTTTCCCAAATATTCCACGAGTTCTTCAGGAATCTGTACCTGTGCAGGAGTGAAGTTCTAATACACAGGAGGTGCCCACTGCCCTAGGTATTTGCCCACGCTACTCCACACCCCCAGCCACTCATAATTCTCCAACCCTGGGGTAGATTTCCAAATGATTCCAACTTAAATAGTTGGTTAACCCTGAACAAAACCTGAACCACATTTAGGAACACACTAGCTCCTAACAGCATGGCAACCGTGATTATGTCAACATTCCAAAGATATTTGAACTCCCCAAATTTCTTAAACACAATTGTAAAAAGCTCCAGGACTGATGACCACATGCTATTATTGATAAGCATCACATAGTACAACAGAAACAAAATCTTAACCCAACTCTCATGAAAGGTGAGCAACAGCATGGGAAACATGTATTGCAAATGAGGTGATAAGATCTCAAGGAGCCAAACAATCAACATTTTACCTGTTTTGTTGTTATCTCAATAAACCTCTGTGCCCCACGTTGGGCGCCAAAAACTGTTGAGGTTTGAACTCAGCGGGCAGCCAGACACCACGTGGCTGGCCCTACACCTCCCCCTCCCCGGTGAAATAGGGGAGGGACAAAACGAAGAGAATTCATAGGTTGAATAAAAAGAAAGAATTCACTAAATATAACAAGAGAACAACAGTAACAATAGTGAGTGCAAAAGAAACGGGTAAAATGCAGCAGTGGCTTACGGAGCACGGCGACCGCCCCCCAGCAACACGCGACTGGACCGGAACCCGAAAACGGCGGCGCCAGAGCGAGCTTGCGCCCACCTGTATCCCTGGGCATGGCATCACATGGGATGAAACACTCCAGGGAGTGATGGCACCAGCCTCCTAGCTGTGCTCCCTCTCAGCCCAGGGAAAGTTAACTCCATCCTGGTCGAAACCAGGACAGTCACTACAGAAGAGGCAGGAAGATAAGCAGTGTAAAAGAGTAAGAGATTTGTGCTTCTGAAGAGAGATAGGTAAAAAGGCATTGTTTTTTGCATACAGATCCCTTCTATCCGGGATGAGAAAGATCACTCTGGTCACAGATGCCACACATTATCCAAACAAAAAGAAGTGAGGGAAAGAGTTAAACAGTTATAAGCATTCAAAATTAAAAAGGCTATGTAGAGAGACAATAATCATTACCTACTATCTGGAGATGAACTGGATATTACGCAAGGGAAAGATGAGGGCAAGCAGGGGGAAGTCTGAGGTGAAAGAGCAAAGTTTCAGGCAATCACCACAAACCTCACGAAGCAGCTCATCTGTGAGAATGAGGAAGGTTCTCACAGGAGGGACAACAAACATTTTAAAATCAAAAATCCATGCTTAAAAAAAAAAAAAAAGAAAACTCAGTTTCTTATTTTATTATTTCAATTTATAATGGCTTTAAATATTAATGTAATATATGCATTAAACAAGTGATTAGCTTTAACTGAATTCTATCAAGCTGAAGCTGTGTTTGCCCATTTAAGTTGGTTACAGATGTTTTAAGTACAAATCACTTCCAATCCATTATGCTGTTTCTGGGAAAATGTAGTATATTGTTTGTCATGTCAGATTTTCTAGCTTTGCCCTTCCCCAATACGTAGAGTTACAAAACTTATTGTCTAGTCTCAATAAGCTGTAAACTAGTTGAACCTACAAATGACCTCATGCCTACATTAAAATCGTGTTTGTCCTTTACAGCTCTGCTCTCTATTCTGACACCTCTGATAGAACTTTCTTCTCCTTTGTCAGGAAGTATTTTTCATCATTTTAATCTCAAAACATTTTTTTCTCTTTAAAGAGGATTAAGGTCAAGGAGTATTTTTGATCATTACTGACATACAACTTTTTTTATAGATTGTGTATTATTGATCTTAAAACCAGATTGACATTTCACAGAAATATGAAGCTGTACAAAAGAAATCTATCCCCATAAGCTGATTGCCAGTATCTATCTTAGCTTCTTTTTCACTTTCAGAGATATAAAAATATTTATTGCTCCTATCACCTACAGGAAGCCACAAAACCTTGCCTGTGACATTGTTGCTCACTCTGAAAATAATTCACACTGCAAATAGGGCTGCAGAGTATAGAAAAACCTCAACAAGAACACCCAAAAATATCTGTGTGCGCCGTAATCCAAGGTAAGTTAGAGTTTTCAATGAATAATATTTCAAAGCATTTAAAAGCATCTAAGGTAAGAAATCCAGTCAGTTATAAGACACTTCAAAAAGTTTTCTGTAAAATAGTATATTTTCAAATATGCCTCTATTTTAGTTCATACACACCATTGGAATTTATTTTTAAAAAATATTCTCTACACATAGTCTGTGTAGAATTGTAGAACAATTTATACAGCATCTACGATGTTCAATCAATAAATATAAGAATTTAAAAAATGCTATTCTATGATCTTGAATACAAGTATTTAGGATTTGGAATTAAGATGCTAGCAGGTTGTTCTTCAGTTACAGATGAAAAGACTCATTGCATCAGCCACAATAATCTTTCTAAGATGAAATATTCTTCATCTGCTCATGCTTACTGAATTCATTCCACTGAATAGGTCTCCTGATCCTACATGAGCTGTGTGAACGAAATTTGTTGGCTCCCCAATCATGCTTCTGTCAATCCGCCGTCGTCTTTTCTGAAAGGAATGTAAAGAAACCATTTAACTGAGAGTCACTGAAAAAGCAAAAACAATCTGTGTCATAAATGTAAAAGTTAACTGTCTACAGGATATTTCACATACTGTAAGATATTTTCATAGAGTCAAAAAACAAAGTCCAAATTCCCACATTAACCAAGACACTGGTAATACTGTCCTTTGTTTTTACTTGGAGGATCTATAGCACATCCTTAGACCAGCACTGATACCACTTCTAACATTTACACCAAAAAAACATTTGTAAATAAACTTACTACATTCCATGGTTTATTAAGCAATATTTGGAATGTTTAAATTCTGCTTATATTTGTATTTAAATCATGATGCAACTGATCAAATTTGAGGTTTAGTCATTCAAAACCAGAATTAAGGATCAAAGAGCATTAGTATAGTCTATGAAACTGCTAACTTACAGAATTTCTGATTTGCATGCAATGGAAACTTATGTCACTATTTGTAATATACTTCACGGTGATGTTCAGAACTTTGCTTTGAGTTTGATCAGGGTTGGTCAGAGACTTATCTTTACTGAACCCTGTATATTCAGATAACTTCCAGTATGTGTGGTTGTAGAGTGTGAGCTAAAGGCATGCAGTGTGATAGTAAGGCAGGATGCCAGGCTGGGGACTTTTTCCTCTGCCATGAGACAGAAGGCAAGAATTGCTTAAACTCTGCCTCCCCTTTCTCAGAGTCACAGCTTCATTTTGCCTGTCATACAAAATACAGTTTAATAGATAAGAAACTACTTGAGGTCAACTAAAAGCTTCACACCATCTTAAAGTCCACTCAGTCTCACTTTTAAAGGGATCTCATTCTAATCTACAATGAGATCGTAAGACCACCCAGACGCAAGACACGAAGGTACATGCCTCATGAGTGGGCTAGCTGCTATTGAAACACAGCTACAGATTAAATCTTTATGAATCAGAACACACAACCATAAGAATACATCATGTTGTTTAGCCAGCAAGTATGAAACACATTTAATCCTTTCCTGTACCTTGTTCCCATTACTAAAACCAGATTTCAGTAGGTTTCAGTACCTTATAGCATGATATTAATAGCTGAGGTGAGGAGAAATGCATAAAACACACCCATTGAAACAGCAAAACAAAATGACCCCTCTATGCCTAAACTATTAGTGAATTTTCTACTCCCAACAAACAAAATAAAAACATCTTCATGTAGTTTGACAGCCTTCATAGAGAAAATGTTTATGGAAATTAACTGAGATGTCTCAATGTAGAGTTCACAGAGCCATAAATAGCCACAACATAATCTATTACCACATCCCAACAATGCATTAATATTTCAATCTGTACATCAAGCTCACCTATACATACAACATATGTTTTCTTAGTTGTGCTTGACATCAGCTAGTAAAGCATATGTGACTAACTTGGAGGGAGAGATGCCAGCCACACCAGGTTTATGCTTCCACAGGATGAGAACTGCTTATCTGACATGTTCAGGACAAGGAGCATCCCCAACAGATATGATGATTATCTTAAATGCACATTGCTGTATTTACACAGTATAGTATTGTAATATACTGTGACTCTGATACAGAAAGAAGCTCTAGAGAGCTCTATGAAACACACTGCTCCAATTAAAACACTTTACATTGTCTGCAGTAGTTGTCCCTCTCCTTTTAAAAAAATAACAGCCAGAGTCAGATTAATTTATATATCTAAACAATACATCCATGATTTCTTAGGTTTAGTAGAGTTTTGAAATGCAGGGTTCTGACACAGAGAAAATTCAGACCATCTCAAAGTTTTTGGATTTTTTTTTTTATTTCTTTTGCAACCAATCAAACTCTTTCTTTGGGCAGCTCAACTTGTTTTCCTCCACTTGTCACTAAGATCGCTGCCATGCCAGTAATAGAATCAGAGTGCTGGATCTTGTGAACAACTGTAAACGAAACTGCAGTAATCATCAGCTAGCAAACCAGTAACCCATCAGTAGCTAAAGTGAATTGCCATCAAATCCTGTTTCTCGTCTTGAGCGAGTTTCTTATCAAGAGGCCATCAGCCAGTTACACCCTGGCATATGCCCACTGATTTGATCTTCTTGAAGCAATGGAACAGCATTTACATGGTCTGCTATATTAAGACCACAAAGTAGCTCGCTCTGAAAGCAAATCAAACATTGTTGCTTTTCTGCAGCAGCACTCTGTTTTTATTGACATTGCTGTTTTAGGTAGGATCATGAGCTTACTTTCAAAGAAAGTTTGCTAGTCCTCATTTACCATGCTTAATTTTTAATTTCAGAGTAATCTTGGAGTGCACAAATTAGACTTCTTTTGGGTGAAGCTGAACTGTTAAGACTAGTTGATGCACTCCCATTGCTAATGGACATTGAGGCCAATGGACCAGGTAAGCCAGTATGAAGCAGACCACAAAATACAATTAATGCACATCATGGTTTCCCAACAGCAACTGTTCTGCTCTCCTACATAGCTACTCCTGCCAGGATGTGCCACTTCCATAGACACAGCCTCAGCTAGAAATAAAATGACCAGTCAGCACAGGTGAAGAGACATAGAGAATTCTGTAAAAAGTAAAAAATTTTCGAGGAATGTAACAAAGGAGACAGGAGTAGGGGAGCATGCATGGAAAGGTTACAAAGCTTTTACAGAGGACACCATAAACATTAGCTTTGCCAGGATTTTATTCTGAAGTTGAATTTTTCTGAGGCCCTGTACCTGTAAAAATACATGCAATACTGTTGTTCTATAAACTATAAGAATTAACACAGAGATTGATTCTTCAGTAAATGTAGTGTATTTAACTTGAAAGAAGCTGAGAAGCAGCATATTCATCTCTTTATTTCAGAAATGAATTGCACACTTACATTCTTTTCCCTCTGTGTATCACTTAACGCCTTTCCATGCTTGTTCCTAGTGCAAGTCATGTGCCTGAGCTGACGGAGCCCAGCAAAAATGAATTCCCATTAGCCTTCACCCATGCCCTAAACTTCACTTGTCAACATACCATAAAAAATTAGCCTTATGATGCATATACACCACTAAACATTGTAGTAATGAGATCTGACTATAAAGGCGATCTATAAAACAACTGCAGGTCTATGATGCTAGTGCAAAGCACTTCAGCATACCCTCACCTGAATATTTGTAGCATCTAAAGAAATAAAAATCTGTTTTAAAGGTATTTCTGATGGAACACATATGTCCCAACTCTTGCAGCCTAATTGCAGTGAGACCTTACGTCCTGTACCTGTGTTTTTTGTGGACGTTTTCTTAGTAGGGGGGAAGTAGAAGAAAGCTCACATTATGATTAGCTAACTTGTCTGGTTTAGGTCAAGTTACTGAAGCATTTGGTATCAATGGGCAAAAAAAAAAATTCAAATCTGAATGTTTTGGGGGTTTTTTTTCCCCCTTGCCTTGGTCCAAGGCACTTCACACTTTACTAAGGGGGGAAGGGGTGGCAAGGAGCACAACAGACATGAGATGAGAGGAAGAGACCTACAGAGGGATCTTGGGAGTGGAATATTAAATGTTATAATTTAATGGCTTTACTCAGTTTGTTCACTTAACAAAAATCTGCAGGACTAGGATTTCAAAATGCACACCAGGTAATCTTTACACCATGAAAAGAATAAATAATCTTTAACTAGAAGTAGAAGAGAGATGCAGATTTGTGTGTTAAATCTTTGAGAGGAATGGAAGCAGTCTGAGGACGCATCTCAGAAACTTTGCTTTGAACATACACTAAGTGCAATGAAACTGGATCACATTTCAGTTACCATAGTAATGAAGTGAAGAATTCACGTCTCTTCTATTCTTAATCTGCAATGCTTTGCACCCACACAGAGTACCATCTCTTTTGCAGTACAAGATCAGAATTCAGAAAGCCACCAACCAACAGTTGCATCACACAGAAGTTATTTTAACTCTGCAAGTTTCTTGAAACTTATGATAAACATTTTAAAAATGTTTAAGCAGTGTAATTTTGAAAAAACTAATTATGACATGTATTCAACCTATCCTTCAGCAAAGCCATGAGTATTTTTGTGAAATGCCATTTTTGTAGTTCAAAGAGCTACTTATTGCAAGAAATTCAAATCTCTGTTTCTTCAAACAAATAACTGCCACTGATGGGTCCAGAGGCATGCAAAATTTCCTTTTTATTCCCTTCTATTTTTGGCTTGCAGGTAAGAAGTGATTTGTCCAGAGGCTGGGTGTGGCAGGTGCATCTGACCAGTGGAAATAGGGCTTCTTGGCTGCTGTAGTGTAGCAGCTCCTGACTGCCTTTGCTCTCAGGGCCTCGCAGTAGTTGGGACCTTTGGTCAATGGGAGCCACTATTGACTACAGGTCAGATTTGACCTGGGTACAAATGGAGTCCCCTGGGGGAGCCATTTGGAGCTTGTCCCCTGAAGCAGCATGCTGTGGTTGAGGACTCTCCCCTTAGGTCAGGACACTGCCCTGAGCAGGTTCTCGAGGACCTTGGGTCGGGACGCTGGCCTGAGCAGGTCCTTGAGGTTGAGAGCCCTCATTTGTCAGGTGAGTGATAGAGTGTTTTGGGTTGTCCTTAAGCCCTAGGGAGCGGTGATTTGTTCTGCATTTTGAGTCGTCATTAAACTGTTCGGAATTCTTTGTTCTGCATTTTGGGTTCTTGTTAAACCCTAGGAAGTTGTTCTGTTCTCCTCTAACAGACACTTGAACATGTATTTTACGAAGAGCTAGTTAACTCTGTTAACAACAAATTTTTAATTTTTGGTGGTTGGTTGTTTATTTGAGAGCCTCTGTAACATTGGGCTGTGCTTCTCTAGCTCAAGCCATTTCATAGTGATGGCAACAGTTCTGAATTAGATGTTTTCTGCCTGTATATATACATATAAAAAAAGTCCTGCAAATTTTTCTCCCTTGCACAGTTATACATCCCTCTCTGCCCTTTATGACAAGCCCTCTCAAAAAAAGAAAAAGACAAGATATGCAGAGTAACATCAAGGTCTC